CTGGTCTTTTTCTGCCAGCTAATATCCCTTGCTTCACTTGCTTCTGCCACTTTTGTTTTTATTGTCACAAATCTATCTCTCCTCCATCAACTTTGCTGGTGTGTCTGTGTAAGCTACGTCTTCCTCAGGGTTTGAACAGGGAGCCGGTTTATTAGTTTGAGAACTTCTGCCACCTAGTGACTGGAGGCTTATTTATTGACCAAGCATGCATTACGACACTAATACTAAAAAGTATCCTGTCTCTCACGCCTTTTACTCCTCACTTATTTACACAAACCATTTCATACAATGTATCTAAATCTTTGCACATCAATTTGTTTTTCCTTGTTTTTTTTGCACCTGTGTTTATTTTCGTACAGATCCTCATTAGAGTCATCTGATGTCACACATTTGCGACTGTTTTACTTGTCGCAAACAGTGGCATTTTTCTGCCCCCCAGTCAATGGACTGCATTGTGTGACGCCAGTAGCTCCACCGAATCTGTAGTGGAGCTACGGCTGTGCAAGTCGTATGTTACAGTATGGGTCGGTTGTATGGGCCGCTTTAACAGTGAAAACAGATAAAATAGCATACCGAACTGTACTGACCCATGCCATACCACTCAGTGGAAATGAGGCATAAGAATAAAGCCAGACACATGGCTACAGAAAATACTTATAGACTTTTCTGTCAGGCTTACAAGTTGGAATATTGTCCAGTTTAAAGCATTGCAAGCTGTTCTTAAGGAATAGCTGCCTTTTAAACCTGTGATCCTGGTCAAAGATAATTCTTTTCACTTCTGTTCTCATAACAGATAACTAAAGCTGTTACTAGTGTATTAGTGTACTTATTTTTTATATTATGAACAAGGTTTGTTAATCTCACAAGAGAAGAAAAAACAGACACTTTCCCCAAGTTTAAATGAGAAATATGTTTTCCCTCACCTTTATGTCACTTATTTAGCCATTCATTGGATGCATATTAAATGAACAGTCTGACTTCCCAGTGTGTTTCAGTAGCCCAAATATTGCTACTTCTATTTTTGTACACAAAAGCAGAACAGTTGGAATGCTTTGGTTGGCATAATAGTCAACAGATGTTTCCAAGATGCCAATTGTGCTTTCTTGTGAAGGTAATTACTTTATTTTGTTCTACAAAACAGCTAGAATCCTCATGAATGTTTTTGGATTTAACTTTGGATTTCAAGTGTTGAAACTTTACTCTGAATTTTATAAATGAGTGGAAATGTGGATGTGTGAACTAAAAGCAGTGGTTGTTAGAGTAATTTTCTTTGCTTTGCAGACCTAAACCGTGATCTGCTGCTGCTGCGGGTATCCTTGAAAAGGTAAGCCAAGTGTACTTGTAGAAGAAATACCAACACAATGCTTGCACTTAGGTCTTGGTTCAGTGGTTCACCACTTTCCCCACTGTGGATTTTTCTCTGTGTCTGTGACCTTGAGGGGCCGCTCTTGGGCTTTATGGGGGTCTCTTGCTGTTTAAAGAATTAGTTATTGCAGGAGAAATGCAAAACTTCTTCCACTTTTTTTGAGCAAATCTACCACTCATACAAAAAGACAGCCAAACACACCATGCTGTTTTATTGAGGTCCCAGGACTTGGCACAATATGGAACATAAAAACTATGTACTACATACCCATGTTGTGAAAAAGGCTTAAAGACTAATGATTGGATTTGGCATTTGAACATAAAAAACATGTTGTTTTACACTGTTAATTTTGAACAGAGTAATTTTTTACAAAAGTCTTTTATTTTGTAAACTTATACATCAGTCAACTTAAATATTATTCTGAAAGGTCTTTGTTTTTATATTTACGACTACATTATACAGTATATTGTTCATATATGATCATTCTAATGCCTGGTGTACGTGATGTATATATATTTGAAAGATCAGTTTGAAATTCAGTAGTTGGGTATTGCTATCAAAGAGTGAGAAATTGAGAAATTCCCATATTGCCTGGCAATAATACATGGAGTCTCACTGCATTAGCTGCCCATCACACAGATGATAGGACTCAGTATGCTTAAGGTCACAGAGAATCATAATGAAAGATGAGAGATGGGACTGAGGGAGATGTCAGTTTACTGCCACTCGCATTGTAATTGCAATCTTGGAAAATGGTACTGAGATTACAAGACTAATATTGTGGAGCCCTATTTTGCTTGAATTGTACTTTGAAACCCACATTGGTTTTATTTTATTATTCATCTTGGCTCACGCTTGACCCATTTCTTTTTCTTTGCGAGTTAAAGTTTCCCTAGATGATGCCTGGAACACGGATTAGAAATACGTCTTGAGCTAAGCATGCTGGTAATTGGCAAGCTTTGACTGAACTATTTAACTGTGACACTTCAAGTTTAGAATGAAAATCTGTGTGTATCCCTTTCAACTTATGTCTCCACCTCTTAGTCTGCTTCTCCCATATTTTAACAATCCAAACAATCTTTAGCATTTATTGAATCTTTAGTTCTCATTTTTAATGAGTCCAAATTGACAGAGCCCATGGGCATCTTTAAAGGGTGAAGTGCAAATGTTTTGTTACCTTCACAGCATGGGGCTGCTGGAATTTTGAAGGCACTCAACAAACTTAACCTGAAAAGATGTCAGACTCATTTTGTGCTGGTTTATTCATCTGTGAAGTTAAGGTCAAATTCAGTTGGATGGCTCAATTATGGGTAACCAAGCAACTTTGCCTCGTGATCTTGGGTATTTTTGTGTCTTACACAAGACACTCACATAGGCACTGCTCTGGTTACTGTTGAAATAAGGACTGCAATCTATTCAGCCTCAGGACATGCATAACAGAGTGATCTACTTTTATGTGTGCATATATATTTTTTTCAGCATTCTTTAAAGGACTTCTTTTGACTTGATCCAGTATTTTCATGAAATGAAGATGTGAGGACATTGACACGTGCTTGTTTTTTTTTTGTTTTTTAACCGTCCATTTTTTAAAAATTTGGTGTTTAGTAAATCTAACAGAAAAGTATTGGCATTATTATTTAATTATACAATAAAATGATAGTTTCTGACATTGCAATCATTATGTTCTCATGAAAATTATAATTATGAGGAATTCCAAGCCTTTAATTATTATGAAAGTTATAATTATATAATATTATTATGACAACTTAGAGATTATAATGCATGTCAAGTAAAGAATCCTAATTAAAACTGAAATAATAAAAAAAAAAGCCTTGAGCGATTATGTATTTATTAGACTTGAGTTATATTCAAATATTTCTGTTAATCCTTCTAATTTAGAATGATGATGTTCCTAATGATAGGACTATTTTCTTACACCATGTAAATCAGTTTGAACTCTGACTATAAAAATTAATGAGTTTGCATAATAATTCCAGCAGATATGCAGTTCCACCTGGTGTTTGGCAATGATAATCTCTGCTGCTGCTAGTCTAGAGGATCAGAGTGGAGGAGGGATGTTCGACTGGGGAGTCAAGCTCAAAGGTGGAGCCTTGGGTACATAGGCGGAGCATTGTTTGAACAGACGTTAAAGCAGCCTTGGAGGATTCAAGGATTTCTCAAACTTGCATGAATGAGTCAAAGCAACACTCCACTTCCATTTGATGAGGGAATTGATTTGTACCATGATATAAAGCTCAAATAAGGCATTTTTTTCTTACACCCCTTTAAATTTCCCTCATTAAACTTTTTTTTTGCTAGTTCAGCCTTTTTTATGTGTTTTATAAGGGATTAAAAATAATGCCTTTAATCACTTGATTTATAACTGTTTCATAACATTGCTACCTTAGCACAAGATCCCTTTAAAACTTTTTTTTTTTTTTTTAAGAAAGGTAACCTCTGTTTTATTAAAGCACCTCCTTGTGCTGTTTTTTCTTATAGCTTCCTGGTCCATCATCTAAAAACCTCACGTTCAATTGAGCCACCCCATCTGTGGTCTTTGCTATTCGTTTGACCCCCTTCTGGTGCATAGCTCTGTTAGCCAAGTGTGAGACTCCAGGCTTGTGTTTCTGGCTGCACCATTAGCTAATCTATATGCTAATGAGGAGATGATAATCAATGAGGTTTGCGCATGGTTGGCCCCAATCAATTCTACATTGCACTGGCAAATGACTCAAATAGCTACATTTCATACAGGGCCGCAGTTGGGATGACGTGCTAATGTTCTGGGGGCAGACCATAAGTATGCCATTATCCCCGCGTTTCCTCTTCTCTATCCCACCGGAATGAATTCTAATGTCATTTAAGATGAGTTTAAATTCAGCTTGAAAGCTATCTCATTTTACCTTTTTAATATGTGGCTTTCAGGGACTGCTGTTTTGCATTTTATTTCTGTACCTCCTATGAATAGATGCTAGTTCTTTGCTGTGATCTGACTCACATGCACTTCATAAGTTCTGATTCATACTCGTATTGTGTTTTGGAATAAATGGTGATAATTCACTGGGAAGTGGCTAAATTATGATAAACATTTGGTCTACCTTTTTTTTTTCTACCTTGAAATAATCAGATTTTCTGTATTATTTTGGCAAATCTGTTCCTCTGTATTTAATTTGTCCGTTTTAGGTATGTAATCTATCTCCTTTACTGTTGTAGTTCTGATTCAAATATTTATATTAGCCAATGTAGGTTATTCATTTTTTTTCCAGCATCAACCAAAATTAAAAGGTAGAAGAGTTTTCTGATTTCTACTAAGAAATGTAGTATTACGGCAATTGCTTTATTTAAAATTGCAGGTTCATAAAAATAAATTAAAATAATGCTGGTCTGTTTTAATCAGTCAGTATATTCAATGCATTAAAATTAATTCAGTATTCAGGCAACATTTGAGGGGGAGGAGAGAGGATGATGGTAAGACATTACCATCATCCTCATTAGAGAGGCGCCCGTTGTCCAATCCGCATGCTACTCTGCACGAGGATTCCACAAGCATCCCATTGGCCGTCGCTAGGCAACCACATAATCAGGGGGTCGGATGCTGGAATGACGAGCTGGCTGCGTGTTGGGGGTTGATGAGAGGGGCTCGGGGTTCTTGGATGTAGCACAGAAACAACCCTCACACGCGCTCATTCGTTCCCTCAGTCAGCCGACCAGCCTGTCACGCAGTCAGACAGACAAAGAGGAGCAGCATCCTGCAGGAGGACAGCGCGCTCCCGGGGGATGGGGCATCATACCCCTGCATCACGTTGGGGGTGTCGGAGGAGGTAGGGAGCTTGAGGGCTGGGGGGCTTTTGTCTCGGCACCTCTGCACATACGCATCCATCCTCATAGGCATTTTTTCTCTGTGGGCATCCTGGCTTTTAAAGGGAGACTCCACATCAATTAGTGCAGAGAAGTGCTTTCTCATTGTGTTTTTTTTTTTCTTCTTTTAATTAATTATTTTTTTTTTTTTAATGTGGGTCATCCGAGTTGTCCTATATGGAGGTGGAGGAGGGAGCCTGCCTGATGGAGGCTCAGCACTTCCTTATTGTGATATGAGCTTTTAGAGGCAGCCAGTCTGTCTGACAGTCTTTCGTTATTCTGCTGGATCCTCCAGACACAAAACTGACAGTCCCACGAGTAGATCAATATGTCCACATAAAAGTGCTCATAATGTAATATTATTGTTTTGACTCGTAGTGCTGAGACTTTTCTATCAAGCATTTCAGTTTCTCCCCTTTTTTAAATGGCATGTTTGTTTTTCCATGCAAATCCATTTTAAAGCCACATTTCATATGTGAAAGCAGAATTTGATCAGAGTGGGGGGTGTTCTTCCATTGGATCCAGACATCCACTGATGGATGGGTGACTCTGCTCAGAGAGACGGCGGTATAAGCCATCATTACCAGAGGGGATTCTCTGTCCTCTCCAGTCATATGGCGGCAGAGTCTGGGATGCACTTTAATGATGCTAAAATACAGCCTGGCAGGTTTTTTTTTTCTGCAGCAGTGGTGCTTTGTTTACCATCGACCACTGATTATCTGAATAGACTTTGACCTTTATACGGCCACAATGTAGACGCTAGGATGCAATTTAGCTTATAGAGTTCATATACTTTTATTATTTACTGGAGGCCCATTGGAGCCATTTGGTTCTATTTAGTGTTGAGGGGAATCAGTGTTTTCCTTTGCAGCATAAGTGGAATATGGAGCTGTGCTTTGGTCGCTGCTCCTCCTGAAAGAATAGTGAGGAGTGAGAGGAAATGGCTCAGGATTTGCAGCATGACGGCAGCATTCCTCCTTTATTTAATTACTTCCATCACACCCTCTTTTCACTCCAGCCCATTTAAATCCTTAGCCTGCACACTCAGCCTTTTCTCCTCACTTTCTCTTAGCTCCTTGACGTATACGTTAATGTGATCACCTCTGACCTTTAAGTCTAGCAGATCCAATCTATCGGTTAAGTTTCTGACTTGAACGATCAAGGTTGACAGACAACATTTTTCTTCTTATCCCTAGAAATGTAAACAGCACCTAAAGAGGTTCAAAACAGGAGCTGAAGCTACATGCCTGGTGTGCTGTTTGTTATGTGTATAAGCAGTGTTGCAGGATGCTGGAGGTCTACTAATGTGCTCTTGTTGACATTTTCATTCTGACATTCATATTATGCTAAATCAAGGATTGATTTCTAAACATTCTTGTACTTAAAGAAAAAATGTTTAATGAAAGCTTTTTTGTCTATTCTGACTTTTATTAGATGTAAAAAAAAAAGCTTTACAAAAACACTTATTTTTCAGAGCCTTATGTATAGACTTGATAAAACTAAATATCACGCCAAAGAAAGCTGCTTTCTGTGCTTCCATCTTCACATGTCGTGCTGAGGCTCGGCTCATATCATCTGTGGAGAGCTCACAACCCATTTTCTCCGGCATTAATAAATAAAACAGAACCAAGCCTTAAAAGGATTTTATAAAAGAAGCAGTAATTATTCCTTCTAATGTGGTGAAAGAAAATTAACAAGAAATGTAAAGTTTTAAAAATCTCTTAAAAATTGGAAATTATAAATGTATTTTTCCATGATCAGATTTTGAACATGATCCCTTATTTGAAAAGTCATCTCATCCCTATGGGCAATTTTTAATTGCTGTGAAAAATTACTGAGTATCTAACTTGGACAGGTCTTTCAGCAAACTAAGTCATCAACCAGACTGTCTTGAAGTGAACGTATCTAAACGATGAACAAGTACCAGTATGGCAGGAATAAGGATTAGAGGCACACCTCAAAAAACAACCCACACAAGTAAAACATGTAAAACAGCTTCTTCTGCTGAACCTGACCTATTTAACAAAAGTTAGAAAAGTAGCATAGCTGAAATAATTAGACATTGAGCCAACAGTGTTTTCTTCATTCCAGAAAAATCAGGAGAATATATAAATGACCATGTTCCCCAACAGGGGTTTTAACAGGAAGGGCTTCTGAAACTTTGTGTTGTCACAGTAACTGACAGCAAGATCCAGTATTAATTTTAAAATGTTCCATAACTTGATTCAAAAGTCACATAGTGTAATTTTCTTAATTTTTTGTTAAAAATGAATAATGCTTTTTTTTGTTTTTTACTTTAAAATGCAATGGATGCTTCAAGTAGCTCATTTATTCTGCATGCCAATAATTTGATGGATCAGCAGAATAGATTGCGACGCTCACACCTGATATAGAAGTTGGTGGCTGAGATGCCATCAGCTGATGGAGCATATGGCTGAGTCATTTGAGATGATGAAGATGGGAGTACTGGGGGAAAAAAAAGTGGGTTAATTGCAACTGATTTCATCATTACCATATTTAACAATATTACATAAGCATTTTAGCTAATAACCTGCAGCAATAATTCATATAAAGCCATCATGTAGAAGAGACATTAGCATTTCTGGCTCAGATCTGGCTCTTCTCTGTGTTCCAATACAACATCCAAATTTAAACATGCAAGACTTTAAATGTTCCAATCACAACTGAATCTGCTGGCTTTAGTTAAAAAAAAAAAAACAACAAACTTTTATTTTGAAGCACTGATCTTTCTTGCTGGACAGCTACATTGGCTTCCTAGTCAGTTTTTGCTAAAAATATATAAAAATATCTTCCCTGAATAAGAAGATACATTGTTGTCCTATTTTCTACATTGTTGATCTGTTTCCAATATATGTTCTGATGGTTTTTATATCGGGCGTTTTGTGTATTTCTTTGAATTTATTCACAATTTTTCAATGTTTCTGTTCAAAGGAAGACTTGTAAGAGCTGTTTTTTTCCCCCTCATGGACTTCCCTTTTTTCTGTCTTCCAGGCACAGGAGAGCCATTCAGAGGAGCCGGGGGTCAAAGGTGAGAAGAGCAGAGGGCACCATGGAGAGTGAACCTGGGGCCCCTGCCTCCACCACTGGCAGCACTGGGACAGTTTCCACAACCAGCAGCTCCTCCATCTCCACTCCCGCCACAACCAGCAGCTCCTCCAGTGCCGTAGCTGTTAGCACTAGTGCTTCTACCTCTACTATCACTGCTTCTACCACCTCAGGCAGCAGCAACAGTGTTAGCAGTAGTAGTAACAATAGTGGTAGTATTACAAGCAGTAGTTCCAGTAACAGCACTTCAGCAGGAAGACAGGCGGTGCGACAGATATCAATTTATAGTGAGATGCCCGACCGACAAACGGTTCAGGTGAGCGGTTTGGAGTTGAAGCACTATCACTTATTTGTGTGGGCATATTTCTTCACTCTACTGCCATCTGTTGGTGCTTTTTTATATCTGAACATACTCTTTAATCCTGCTTCAAATTGGAAATAAATGACATGGGGAAGAAGGAAACAGAGTGGCGCCTAACTGGTTGAAGGAATGCTAATGGGCCTTAGGCGCTTTAGTGCTCTTGACCTTTTTACTGAAGGGCAAACCTCTACAAAGGCTTTGCCTCTGCTTGAATGAGGGTTGCTCAACTTTCAGTGCTAATTCTTTGACAGCAGGTTTATTGTTTCACAGATCCCTCCTTTTTTTTTCTTTCCTTTTTTTTGCTCTGACAGCTAAAAGTAAAACATCAATCACCAGTTTTTTGGTGACTGAGCTGAGCTTTGTTAGATTTCAGCACTGACTGAGCTGGAGGTGATGGTCCGAATGGTTGTGTGACACCATGAGCCTCAGGTCAGCATGTTGTCTTGTTGTCAATTTACATAGTAGAGGATACTTGCACTTTACAACATTTAGTTCTGGTGTTTAAATGTGGTGTTTAGTTTGCAAATATTTAAGAACTTGATTTCCTAATTAGTGTTCTTTTTAAAAGTGACAGTCTGAATACTCTTCTGTATTTTTCTTAGAGAGAAGTCTTATCAGTTGCCAAAACTACTGAAATCCTAAATTATGAGTTCAATTTCCAATTGGTGTTAGATAATTGAATTAGTGAAATGAAAAAGTAATGTCATTATTATTGTTTTTTGTCATTTTGTGTTTAGAACTTCAGCAAAAAAAAAAAAAAAAAAAAAAAATCAAAAAATATTTTTTTTTCTGGGGAGGTCTTAAAATTTT